AGTACTTCCACAAAATGAAGCACTGTAATTGCAACCTGCTTTCAGTGTATTTTAAAAGTGGAATGAGGGCTGACACAACAAAAACACCATTCTGTGTGGATTCTCTAGACTAAGGGTGTATGGGCGCATCCAATTAAGGTTACAGAAGATGCAACCATGAAAAAACTACGTGGCCTGGGCTGGAGGTGTAGTCGGTGCTAGAAGCCACATGGCCCACTGTGCTACAGATTCCCGGGCCAGCCTCGAAACATGCCAGGGAGCTCAAGATCCTGATACACTGAAGAGCTGGGGAAAGGGGATTGCAGTAAGATTACACCAGCAGTTAGTATAATGGCTATGTCGCTGGACTCCCACGTAGTTGACCAGTTTGAGTCCCGGCCCTGGTGGATTAAACTCATGCGGGGCACGTGTGCCGTGCCCAAGATACCGAGAAGAGAATGTAGAAGGGATTGTGGCGTGGCCATCCCCCCCGGGGGGTGATTTCTCACTTTCTGTCTTTTTCCAGGGAGTACACATGCTCCATGGCAAGACTTAAAAGTGCTTCTTTATTCTCTCCCGTGTGTAGGTGCATACCCTCTATCATGAATAAACCTTTATCTTCCCATTTCTGTGAGACCATAGAGCAAGAGACTTATAATCCCACTAGGTTTGCTGTACAACTCAGAGTTCTATGCTTACGTTGTCATCTTGCACCCTTGAGCTTCAATTCAATGTCTTTCTTCATCTTTTGAGAGACCCACTTACTAGGCTCACCCTAAAATGTCAGCCTATAAAGGTGGTTTCAGAGTAAGAATTCTGGTGATATTTACCTTTTACTTTCCCTCTGCAGCCTTCTGGGTATGGTTTACTAGTGAGCCAGGAAACCTGGTACTGCATTTTAATCAAACCAAATTTCTGAAAGCTGTTGAACATACAAGTGACACTGACTGCTGGACTGGGCAAATATCACTAATCGATGCTCACTTTTCATCCCTTCAGGATCTGTTTTAAGGTCGACCTGGTTCGAAGAGCAATGGGCTGAAAAGGGCATGCGGGAAACGTTTGAGTTTTAGGCCTACTTTTGCCTGGAGCTGAGTTTACATGACTCTGAAGGTTTCTCATAAAATTCTAGTAATGTCAATTACTTCTGCAACAGAGGGCAGTTTCCCCATCTTTAGAAAAGATTAGTGGAGGGACCAGCAGATGGAGTGGTGGTTAAGGTGGCTGGACTCCTCATGGCTGACCATGGTTCAAGTCCCAGGCTTGGTGGCTTGCTTTCTCACTTTCCTTGTGTCTCTCTCTAGTCTACCTCAAAAAATAAAATTACAATGAATAAAATTGAAAGAAAAGATTAGTGGAAGCTCAAAGATTTGATTGCACTGAAGTGGAGAATAAAAAAGATACCAGTAGCTGGGGAAGAGATGAGAATTTGATTAATAGACCAAGGAGGGAAGGGGACAGAGTTCTAGAGTACTACAGCACAATACAGTGGATACAGCTGCTGTCAATTCAACGCATATTTCAAAGCAGCTAAGAGAGATTTCTAATGCCCACAACACAAAGTAATGATAACTGTTTGAGATAATGGGTGTTCACTGCCCTGACTTGATCATATACACTGTAACTTTTTAAAAAGAATTATTTCATTTAACTTTATATAAATTTTACCGGAGAGGGAGGGGGAGGGGAGGGGGAGAGGGAGAGAGAAAGAGGGAGAGAGAGAAACCAAGCCCCCAGGTCCAGGACTCGAACCAGTCAGCCATGTGGGAGCCCAGCACCCTTAACCACCATGCCAGCTGCTGGTCCCCACATTGTAACTTAATATTGAAAACGTCCTGTATTCCATGAATATTACAAATTAATTAAAAACAGAGAAAGATTAAACTCTTAAAAAAAATGGATTGGATCTTTCCTACCAGGAAATAATCTTCACCTCATGCTCTCAGACTGTAGACAACCAGGAATTTCACAAATACTGGAAAAACATCTGCCCCCCTAAGCCCAGCTGCGGGCGAGGTGCAATGCAGAACCTAGAAAGCACATTTAAAAATGAACAAAGATGGGGCCAGCAGGTGCTGTGGTGGTGAAGGTGCTGGAGACTCCTGTATGGCCAACCTCGGTTCAAGTCCTGAACCTGGAGGCTTGCTCTGGCACCCCCTCTCTAGACAAACTGAATAATAAAATTAAATGAAATCTGAAAATGAACAAAGAATTGCAGAATGGTGGTAGAGGATGGGATGAATTGCATGCAACTTTCAATGATGTATTTGTGCCCAAAAAGTAGCCTTTGAGTTTAAAAAAGAACAATGGAGATCTTACCTGATTTTATTACCAGTTTTCATTCTAATCCACTGGGGAATAGGACGATTTTGTTTCTGTTTTTTGGCCAGAAACCGCTTGATTCTGAAAGTTTTGTGAGAAGACTGGGAAGGAAAAACAATCAATTTAGCCAGTGATATTAGAACCTGCTCAAATGTCTCCAAGTCAGTAATCCCCTCAATCCAGCACGCACCTGAATAGTGCCCCATAATGTCCTCATTGCTAAACTACTGATATCAAGCCTAACGATCCTCACAACTTCTCTTTCATCTATCATTCAAATAAAAATAAGCAGAACCAAGGAGAATTCAAACCCAGATCCTCCTTGCTCCACCGTAGGCCGCTTTCCAATCTACCCCGCTGTGTGTAAACCAAGGCCTCCTTGGAAACAGACTTCTAGAAGGAACAGCTTTGGTTGGGTCAAGAACCATTTACAAGCCAAGGGTCTGAGCGTCCTACTCTAAAGCACCAGATACTGATCCCCCTATATCTAGAAGCTAATAAACATAATTTCCCAGTATAACCGTTCATATGTCACTGGAAAAAACCCACAAACCAGTCTGCTCTTGGATTTACTAAGAACGCCCAAACGCTCACATCACAGGACCCTCGTTCCAGGCGCTTTCACGGGGTGATGTTTTGGTTTCTGAGCAAATGTTTAATTTAAAAGGTCTTGTAGCCCAATAACGCGGCACGTTCCTGGGCACTAAGTTTAAGACTCTCCGGAAGTCACTAGTCCACATTCTCCTTGCGAAACCCAGCACGTCGCGCGTGCAGCGAGGAGCCCTGCAGTCGGGGCATGGTTTCCAGTGTGGTCTCCCCCCACCCCAAAGTCTCTCTCCGTCCCATCAACAGTCCGCTCCAGGCGAAGGGCGGCGGTAACACCGGGGGCCCAGGCAGATCGGCCCCACCTGTCTGCGGCACCAGAGCAGCTCGCCCCTCCCCAGGTGCACACCAGCTTCCCGCCAGGCCCGCGCACTTGAACGGTGGCCATGTTCCGCCTTCTTCAGGAAAAACTACTGGAACGGTGGCTCTGCTCCGCCTTCTCCAGGAAAAACCTCTCAAAGGCTCTCGCCCCTCGGTGCCCTGCACGGCCCCGGAGAGCCCGTGGCGGTCTCGGGCCTCAGGGAGCTATCCCAGAGCCGATGTCGGCCGATAGCCTTACCATGGCGAAGAGCCGAGGGAACCGCCCACCCCACGACGGCGG